AGATTGTGCGGTGTTGTATAACTGTCTTTTGTTCATGAACCTGGCTCAGTGCACTGCTGACCTCTTTTCAATATTGGCCAGATTAGCGTGCAGCGGTACTGTGTGGCTCATCGCTGCGATGGTGGAGTGCTTTTGTCCCTGGTGGTAATCCGCTCGCTCTCAATGCCCCAAACCCTGGTATACGGTTTCAAAAGAAGGCTGGATTATCACCACTTTTGAGAGTGAAAAATGCCGGTACTGCCCAGCAGCCTGGTCTTTTGTTCGGAGTACGGTCTTTTGTTGCAGGGGCCTGTTTCCTTTGTCCAAGTTCGGAGACCCCGGCCACGCATATAAACCATACATCTCCGATTCCGGAGTCCCCGGCAGGAAGTGGTTAAAGGGCAACTTTTTTCACCCTATTCAAATCCAAGTTCTTGCAAACGTTGCAGATATTTCATGGCTTTAATTCAAGCTCAAGTCTTTGATATGTATTCTGGTATTTTAAAGAAAGATACAAGAATGTTACTTCTACATGTTCACCATAATGAAATGGCATTTTGCCTTCCATTAACGTACCAGTACCATTTTTGTTGTATTTCTAGGATTGGATTCATCCCAGATCTATCCGCAGGTCTACAGTGCCATCAGAAGTGTGTTTCTCAACAAATACCCCCAGCTTTTAAAAAGCCTTAATAAATTCAAGCACAAAAAGTAAGTTTGCTTTTACCAGGGTAACTTACTTTTTCGTATTTTTCAAAATTTATTCACATTTAATCACAACTTTTTTTCATTTGGAAATAGAAATTGCTTGATTCATCTCTCTGGTTTATCTCTATTTTATTTTCATCAGTGAATCAAACCTATTGTGAATTGTTTGAAACAACTGTTATCAGGCAAAACTGTGCTTAAAATTGCTTATAATTCTCCACATGTGTTTATATTATCTTTCTTAGTTTCCGATTTGTTTCGCCACAATATCAATTCTAATTCATTGGCAGGCTACCAACAACAACAGCTGTATTGCTGCTGACAGCTTCCTACGTTATCTCCAAGATGAATATGTTATTCATCATGCTAATAGAATATGTGATGCAATACAAGGAAATGAGTGATTTGTATGGACATTCTTATTTGGAGATCTGTCTTGATATGAAAGTGGCTAATTTTAGTTTCATCAGAAATGATGTAAAAATTCCTGACCTCACATTTTACATACATTTGAATCATGTACATGTGCATGTAGTTTTGGTGTCATTTTGACTGTTTCTTTATAATTGTAGTACCTTTTTTGAGTTGATGCGGTTTGACTTTGTTTTGGATGAGAAGCTCAAACTCTTTTTAATGGAGGTAAGTTGGAATTCTACTTTATTGCTTTCACAGTCTTTTCTGTTCATGACAAACTATTGATGATGTGACTAATATCTTGCTCTGATATTTACTTTTTGCATTCACTTTTCAATTTTTACAAAGTGCCATTGGATGTTTTATTCCTGAAAACTGGATTCAAAATTCAAAATTTCAAAAAAGAGTGATGCCTGGGTAATTCCAGAATTAGGGGTCCAAAAGTGTGACCTTTGCATCTGAGCTTTGTTGTTTTACATGAAACTATCACCGGAATTGATTTCAAACTATTACTATTTGTTGGGCAGGTAATTGGCATTAATTTATCACTCTTGGAAATTAGAAACTATGTTCTGAACTTAAAAATAATGTCAGATGTGACAGGGACACCAAAAAAATGGACCCATGATTTCTGGAAGTACCCATCTCTGTTTTTATGCATTTTGGGAGAACTTACTCCCATGGTTACAGTTTTTACTAGGGATCAGATGGTTCGAACCCAGTAACTGGCTGGTGTCTCTAGCCAAATACTGGTATCTGTCCATTTAGCTGTTTTCACAGTTGTTGCATGTCAAGAAAACTGACAATAAAACTCTAGCCTCTGGAGCTACATCTTGATTCACTTGCATTTCATATGTGCAGTTTACTCTTCAATTTCAATCAATTACTTCACACGTTGTCTTGTATTTTGTTTTGATTGATGCCAGGTGAATATGTCGCCCAACCTTTCTTCCAACCACTTTTTGCCAAACAAGTACATGTACGAGCATGTGATTTACAACATATTGAGTGTGGTGGGAATAGCCAGGAATGTGAAGGATAAGATTAAAGACAGGTGAGTGCCTATATGGAAACACACATTTGTTCAAATCCAACTTTGAGGTTGAAAGCTGCATACAATAAATTCCCCAATAAAATGATTAACTTTTTTGCAAAATTCCTCTTGAAGGTTATTTATAGAAATAATAGCTTGTTTTGAAGCACACAAATCACAAGAAATTTGTGTTCTTCCTTAAACACTATTTCATAACAAACTAAAACCGCTGACACGAAATAAAACATTAAAAACCCAGTTTTTGTCAGTGTATTTGGGCATCGGTAGCCTACGAGCACTAATTACATAACTCGGTTGTTACCATTACCTCACTAATACATAAATCAAACTCTTTCAGAAGGCAACTGGTATACTGCCAGCTACGAAAAATTCACCCACACTTTTTTTGTTTAATTTTTGTTTTCTTTTAATGAGGATGAGAAACGTCCTGAGGCAGTAAATCTTAGTGTCAGACACACTACATGCATGCCTCATTACCATTAGATCTTAATTGATATAAACCAACAGAATGAAAAAGCTCTTCTAAGTTTATATTTACATGTACATTATAAAACTATAAAGGAAGCGTACACAATAAACTACCAGGATTTGGTATCAACCTGAGGATATGAGTACTGACTACATTGCCAGGGCTTTAGAAACCGTAAACAGACTAGAAGTGGAGTCGTGAATGTAACTGTCCTTGGCACTTTGTGATTTCCATCTGCCGTGACGCTTGAATAAGCGATCAGGGACTCCAGCATTGGCTGCAACTGTAGCACCCCCCGATATGAGGATACATGTGTGAACACTGAAAGGTAAAGTGTCATCTACAAAAGGTTTAATCCAATCTAAAATCAACTCCCTTACTCTGAGCTTGTAACCTGCTTTCACCTCTGACAGGTTTTGGAAAATGCACTGATCTGGGTCGTCAGCAAGAGAAATCTAGGATTTAAGCATTTCCACAGGACAATAATTAACAAGAATTGGTACTGCTAATGACAACTGACCTGCCATCTCTGTATACGTCAGGTTTACTGGTTGGTATTAACAAGTTCAAACCATCGGGAGTCAACTCTCTATGTGCAAGTTTTATCTGAAAAAGTCCATTGAAACGGAAGAAGCCTGAATATGCTTATAAACACATGGTGACAGTTCTCAGATTCAGTAAATTAGCTAACATATGGCCATTTTCTCCAATATACATGTACATACGAATATGTACAGCACCATTTGTTTGAGAATATCTGTTATCGGTTCTTTTTTAGTTGCTGGCTTTGTAAGAGATCTTTTATCCCCATCTGCTGTAAAGAACACTATGGAAGACGAAGTAATATCATTAACACCAGCTAATTTACATGTGCCAAAGAGATACCAGTAGTTACTACTGTTTCAATGATGGGGGCAGGAGAATTGGAACATTTGCATGTCAAATGAACCAAATAAAGAGCAAAATCAAATGGATTAGCAGGACATGATCCTGTCCTATATTTACATGTACATGCCCAATCAACCCATCTACTGTGACAGTCAGACAGTAGAGCTGGCCCTTGCATTTAGCATGACTGCTGCTCTCTGGCTGCCTCTTATCTGATCCCAAACTCCTGTACTGAATATTACCTGTGCTGTAAACGTGTACTAATAGGTACATTTATAAGGAATCACATCCTTGTTATTAAGGTCTTTAATTAATATATTAAGCCATGCAATATGCTCAGCAATTAAAATGTAATCTTATTTGCTAGTATCTTCTGACAGTATTTTGTATGAGCTCTTAATTACCACCTCTCCCAGAGATAATTAATTCCGGGAATGCGAGGATCTTGTAAATAACCTCCACTGGTCTAATTGGATTACAACCACCTGGGAAAAGCAGGGACCAGAATGGTGCCATAAATCAACATGTTCATATCAAAGTTCCAACAGCTTTGGTATCTGACATGTGAAGTACACATTTGGGATTAAGGAAATTGGAGGAACAAGCCAATTGTTTTCACTGCTCCAGTCAAGGGTAAATGCATCTATATTTTCACCAGCATATACACACATACATGTACATGTACTAGCAAACACATCCCTTTGGTCATGACATTTAATCTGCGAGTCTGGGATATCATCACAAAGTTCTTTCATATGTTCCGTACCGATTCCGTGACCAGCAACATCTTCAGCGATCGAAGACTCAACTCCCCTTGTTGCCTTCCGACGTAACTGATCGATTGGAGGGACTTAGTCCGTTCGGTCATCCCAAAGCAACATCAGCACTGTAGCCTGCAATCATCCTCACTGTAATACTTGCAGGTTTATCCACAATGCCCCACGGTTGATGGCCCCAAAGGCAGTTACACCCCCAGAGGACAATTCACGTGTACTTTAGCCAACCTCGTGTATTGTATCTCCTGCCAACAATGCAGTGTCCATTACATCGGTGAAACAAAACAGTGCTTGGCTGACCAATTCACCAAGCACCTGCGAAGCGTCCGAAGTCAACTCACAGGGCACGCTGTAGCGTGCCGCTTCAAAGCACCACACGCTTGTAACGACATGCGCATGTGTGTGCTAACCATGACAACAACAGACGCTCCATGCTTGGTGACAGAACAGAACATCATATTCCGGATTGAAACATTGACGCCAGGCAGTTTGAATGTAGATTTTTCTGCTTTCAAACCACCAGTCTCCCACAGCTCCAATAAAGACCCATTGGGGCCAAAAATTCGGCACATGACCAAACCGGTGGCACTCTTGTTTCTTACTTTTCCCCTACATTACGGTGTGTACCTATCATCAGTGCTCCACAGTTTTCTTATACTACTGGCACATTATATTTTCCCCATCTGGGTTCCAAAATCTCGAATGAAAATGCTATAACTTGGTGTTATAAGAAGAGGTGAATCTGTCAATAGAATCGGTCCCCACAAAGCATTAAAACAATGGTAAACTTCACTTGAAATGCTCCAGTCATTATTGTCTATGATACAACTGTGCTTGTCCGCTTTTTCCTTTTTTTGAACAGGGAATCCATTTCATATCCAACTGAATGCATGTATTGTACTCTAGGCACGCCTTGCAAATACTTAAAGATGACTCTCCGAGTTCACTCCTCATACTGCCGCATACAGAGATCTTCTCTACAGCTTTGTTATCTGTGAACCACTTAGTCTCTCGGCAGGACAGTTTATGGGCTAGAGCTTTCAAGACCAGCTCAACAGCTTTAAGCTCTCTCCATGATGTACATGTACTACTCTTCTGAGTTTCACTCTCATCCCATAAACTATGGGATAGAGTATTGGCCATGTCTACTATATAGTCAGCAAATCCTGTGCAACTAGCGTCTGTACATACAATACATAAACAATTAGCATGAGGACCTACAGTACACCTGTTCAGTTTTGCCATGTTACTTCTCCAAAAAATGAATTCATCCGTAGCATCTGTGGAAAGGACTACTGTACCAGCCCATGACAACCTAGATTCTATGCACCCATGAAGCTCTTTTGTCATGACTCTCGCTACATAACCTGTAACTTTATTGTGTTGAAGTGGAGGTGGAGGCTGCACTGCCTGCTCTACGTTTAGGATGTGGCCTTCCAGTGGGTGAAGCTGCCGCATTTGAAGCATGATCTACCTGCCTATGTTCCACCGTAGGTTTGACCAAAGGGTAGGACTTGACTAGGTCGACGAAAAGACTGACGACCGCCATCAGTCACTGACCCTTGGTCACACTTGAACTTCTTGGCCTGCTCCAATACCACCATCTTCTTCTGCTTGACATTACAAGCCCAGCCCTGTCTTTGGCCCCGGTTATCTTGTTGTCATTCTTGTCATCGGCAACCTCGTAGGCCTCATACTCTTAAACAGTGGCCCATCCATACGGACTTGTTTCAGCGATGTAGATTAACTTCTGCAGTGTAGGCTTCACTCTAGACTCTTCACCAACGTCTTCCAAGGCACAGGAGATCACATCTTTAATCTCTCTGGAAGAAAACATATATGTATCAAATTTAAGAAATAATTGCAGTGTTGCTCCGGTGTCATGACTGACATGAATGAAAGATCACGCCACCAGTCCTATGCTCCAATCACCTGTTACGTAACACCTGAACAATAACGCCACAGAAAACTACACACCACGAAGAAAGTAAATATATTCTAATTCACTCATGGTCGTTGTACGAACAATTCATGTCTTGGTTTCAACCCTTGTGGCCATAGTGTCCATTATAATCACCTGGTCCTGGTTCATTTTAATTTGTTCAGAGCATGTTGAGAATTAATTTGAATCTTATAATTAACCAATTGCCCAGTGGCATTATTCCACAAAGAACTTTTCCCAAGCTCAATTTTTATTTTTAGCTGACAATTATGCTAACATTTAAAAACAACAAGATACCTGTAACCAGTTCTTTATAAAGTTGGATTTTACAAATGCTGACCCTTGGTGTGTGTTTTTTTCAAGATTTTTTTGAAATTATTTGCCTTGTCAATTTTAGGAAACTCCGAGACAATGTCACAGAGCAATATTACATGAAGCTACAATGCCTGGCTATGACCTGTGGCCGCTTGAGGGCTCCACACATGCTCATTCTCCATTGAGTAGTTTTAACTTTTGTTAGTGTACAAACACAGATTTACTCAACAATGGGAACAAGTACGTAGATGTAAAGACATCACCAATATACATGTAGCAGTCAGAATTTGACAGAACATGTTGAAACATCCTCTGTGTTACAACACAGCTAGAAATCTCAGCATCGTTACACATCAGCAAGCTGGTGGTGGTTGAAGAAAAAGGCCTTTGCCTGGATATGTGCATTTATGTTTCTCAGTGAGGCCTTCAAATTACACGAGACTCTTTGGGAGGTGGCTGCAGCCATAAGCAGAGACTCATGTCATTCTGAGCCACAGCCAAGTAATCCGGACACAGCCATAGTATTGAGTATCACTAATCATGTTCCTTTTTTGTTCATTGATTACACACAGTTCACAGGATGCTCAAGCCATGCAGGTCAGCGAAAAGCGTATTCTTGTAAGATCAGACATCTGCGGCAGCCCAAAGTGCGCAACATGCATTTCAAGCGTAAGTGACTATTGTAGTCAATATAAAAGTTCACAATTGTAGGACTGTGTGGCTAATGTATTTTTGGTGTACACTTGTGTTTTTTTTATACAACAGTTTGCAGATACCGGTAGAACCTGCCCTTTCCTTGGGGAAAATAGTAACATTTCTAGTCTTGAGAGGAGACTAGTCTTACCTTCCTGAAATTGTGGAATATATTAACCCCTTTCGGGTTTTTTCAGGCACTCTGCCAAATCAGACAGAATCCAACAACAGAAAAAGTGTGAAGCCTGCTGAACTTGACAGAATCCAACAGCTTAAATTAAAAACCTTTTGTTCACTGCTCACTGCATCAAAATCCCACTGAAAGTGATCTCTGTTAGTATGCTTAGGGTTTACTTGTAAATGGACTGTAGATTGTGTCCTTCAGACCTCATTCAAGGCTCCCCCAGTATACTGAGTTTAAAAAAGTATGTGTGTGTACAACCCAACCTGTAACTTTACCTTACGCAAGATACACTGATGTCATTCCAGTGCTAAAAAAAATAATCTGCCGGTCTAATGCACGAGGCAAGTTCGAGAGGTGACCATGTATTGACCATTGACCAATTTCCGACACATGGTTATGTCTCAAGATTGGCCCATTGATTTTGATAGTTCGAGGACCTTCCAACCAATGCAAAGAGTGTACGCCAGTTAGTGGACCATTTGCATGGTTAATTTCCTTGCTTTGTGACACTTGAATGATTAATTGCACAGTTTTCATGTGAGCTTTCAAATAGTACAGACATTCTTATCTACAGAGCCCTGGGCATTTTCGAGTGTAAGCTTTGTCCTATCTAAAGGAGCCTTACAAAAAAACAGGTCTGAAAAGTACACCTTCATTACATGCACATAGAGATTTTCAAGGGAGGTCAGTTACAGTGGATCAGTGGATCCAGAAAATGGGGGGGAGGATAAAATAGTCAATTCCTTCCCCTCCAAACAACTTTTAATTATAATGACAGAAAGGCCATTGGGGGACTAGTGCAGCCCCTATCCTTCCTAAAGTGGATAAAAAGCCCCAAATTAGACTTACATGGATTCCTCACAAAGGCCATAAAAGAAATTCCCAAATCCCTCTCCCCCCCAAAAAAAAATAAATAAAAGTGTGGACTTAAATCTGCCATTGGTCAGTTATGGTCATGAATTGATTCATTGTAAGTGGAATATGAGCTCAACAGGGTGGAACAGGTTTACAGACTCGGACAATCTTTTTTTTTTTTCAAGATGTATTTTGGACGATCTTGTTGCATTAAGCAGTCAAGAGGTGCAGTACAAGTGCTCATCCTGAGAGAAGTTGAGCTCTTCCCAATAGTCACTGTTGGATCCCTGTAGTGAATGGCAGGCTGCGACTCCAAGGCTATGGGCATGGTTGGCCTGTTGGATGGTCTGGCTTCTTGTCATCTACTGCTGTTTGTGGTTACAGTGAACCAAGTTTCTAGCCAAAATATTGTTGAAGGTTTTTTTAAGGGTTGATGCAAACTACAAATTGACGTGAACAATAATTGTTGCGTGTTGTCAGGAATGTGAGCTGTGTTTTAGATGCTTGGTTCCAGATCAGATCACCATGTTGGAAGAGGCCTATCTTGAACACACACACCGCCAGAGCACTCGCAGAGTCTACCCAGAACCAATGGTAAGGCAGGAGACAAACTTAATTTTTGTACAGCAATATGTCCTTTTGATAAATTAGGAGTTGTATGTAAACTCACTGAATGCATAGTTTGTGCAGTAATGATTTGTTAAGATGGGAATTATTATAAACATTTTAAATACTGAAAAATGCACATTCATCAGAACTTCAGACGAAAGGCCAATTGCAAAACTCCTTCTTAAAATTCATGTGTACGACCCAAAATGACCTACACTGTAAATGCAGGCACTACAATTTTGGGCTGCTAGAAATAACTGGCCATAACTCACTAAAAGAAATGGCAGCTACCAAATCTCGTTTTGGGGCATTCCTTACCCAAGATCTAAACAACCTCTCTGAAAGCAAGGCATTATTTGCCATGAATCAGTTGCTGAAAGTGACAACAGAATACATGTACATCTTCATTTTATGCATGCAAAGAATACCTTTATACGTGTGGTAATTTATCTCAGTCAACAAAGCACACTATTGTTGCCATTTGGAAGAAAAAGTGATTTCATGTGGAAATGATATGATTTTCCTGCAAAGGGAAACAACAGTGTGCTCGGTGGAATAAGATTAATTACTGTAAAGGTATTCTTTGCATGCAAAAAATATGTGCTGTGCTTTGTCACTTCAAATTTTTAAAAGCAACCCAGTTCCAGTTAAGGGTCTTTGCTATGCAATTTATTTAATGTATCCTTTGAAAAGACACCTTCGTTTCTCTTTGATAATTACGTTTTATGTTTGTTTTGCTATTTGAAAGGGCATTCCGGGGCCATTTTTCGTTTTATTGTAATGAGTATTTTCATATATGTATGTGCAAAAGTCATCTTGTGAAGATAACCTTAATGTTACAGTGATTTGTACTCAGACAAATACTGGAATTTTTCAGATTTTGCAGGCGTCAATTTCCTTGTCTTTTGATGATTCATTGTTGTGTAAGTTCATGACCATGAACCAATGAGCAACTCTCAGAAATACTTCCAATGAGCAAATTTTGGTTTCACCAATTTAATAGAAAAATCTATAAAATAAGCAGTGCCTTTCCTGACGGACATCAAAGCATCAGCACCCTCAGTTGTCTGGAAGAACATTGACAAATTTTATGTTTTGAAAAATAAAGGGTACTTCTGAATACCTTTATAAACACAAAATGATGTCAGTAGTTTGCATATTTTGAAGAAGAATATCAGGTTACATAGAAAGGTTAAGATTACAATGTACTTCATTGCTTGACTCTCTTGAACCCCCTAAGTACTCACCACGTTGGCATTCTTATTAACCACTTGCTTGCAGGGTGCTTTTAAAAATGCAGTGCACACATATGGGAGATTTTCAAGATTTTCAGTTTTCAAAATTCTTCAAAAATTCATCATTTAATTGACGTTTAAACTCCACACGAGTGACTGTTTGGTGCTACTCTAAGCAGGCAGGCAACCTTCATTGACTCTTGAGTATTTCAGCCAGGCCTGCTGCCACCCTGTAAAGAGATCCCAGAATTGTGAAGTATTGCGTAATTTTCTTCGTCCCCAGTGAATGCAAGTAGCGTCTTTTCAAACGCGGCTGGATTAGCATGCAGCGGTGCTGTGTTGCTCATCAATGGGGCCCTGGATCACTTTTGCCCGCGGTGCTAATCTGCGGGTGCGCTGTGCCGAAAACAGTGGTATACTGTTTAGAAAAAGTGACGGATTACCTTCGAATAATGCAAGCCAAAAAATGATTTTCAAGATGTATTTAAATTAAATTTAAATTACATCTTGAAAATAGTTCGCGGTACCCGCTGCTTCATTTGACTCGGACCGGCCAGCCTACCCCGGCTAGCTCGGTGGTCGAGTGGTTAAGACATCTGCACTAGTAAGCATGAGGTCGTGGGCTCGAGTCCCACCCAAGTAAGCTTATGAGGTTTTTTCGCAAGCTCTCGGCCAAGCACTGAGCATATAGTGCTTATTATATACGTTGGGTAAGGGCAAACCCTGTTATATATAACCCAAAAAATGATGGCAAATCCCGGCAGCAGGTCTTTTGTTCTGAGTACTGTCTTTTGTTACATGGACCAGCTCTACGTATAAACCCATGGTGCTCAAAACAGGGTTCCCCGGCAGCAAGTGGCTTAGAGGACTGAGCGGTATATGCTCCATGTACCCAGTTTACACATAGTGGATACCATATTTAGGGTAGAATTCTCCCTCCCGTCAGTAAACCTACATGTAGTTTCCATGTGGTTGTAACAAACACTGACGGCATGCAAGATGCAGACAGTTACGGAAGAGGTGTGTGGACACCATTGGGTGTCACTTTTTACTCATGATGAGGAGAATATGAACAAAAGGGGGGTGCGATAAAAGCGAGAGGGACATCATTGTACTGCTGTCATGCAAGCATGCATATTTACATGTATGGGTCTGCTCTGGCAACTCAACACAGACAGTCTTTAATTTGAACCCTATCCAATCGTCGTGACTGTGTCTTTGCTTGCATTAGTTGTAATAAAGTATTTCCATATGACTTCGTATTGGCTTGAACTGATCAGTGATACTTTCTGCGTTTCTCTGTCGCTATGGAAAGTCTGTCCAAATGGTAATGTGGTCTGTTGCTGTTTCCCTCTGCAGACACAAGAAGAGGCACGGACGTACCACAGGAGCAGAGATTCAGACCTGACCCCGAGGAACCGCATCCTGAGGGAGTGGTTCCGAGCCAAGTGCATAGAGGATGTGTACTGGTGCACATGACAGTACTGTGAATCATTTGTGTAGTTCTGATAAATGGCTTATTACAAGGTGATGACTCGCTCTTTTGTGTAGGCTCCACCGCACACCTCTTGCCTTCCTTCAGAGGCTGGTGGTCAGAAACAGATCCCTTATTTTAGAAATAGTAATCTAAGGCAGACTGATACTCTGGCTAAAAGTGTAGGAAATATCCAAATAAAGTCTTTCACAACTCAAAATGTAATAACAAACCTAATGAGTATTTTCAAATTTGTCTATATGTGTGCATATAATGTACTTGAGTACTATGCACATTTTGCCCATGGACTCAGTGACTTTGGTCTGTAACAGTATTATAAATGCACATGATCTTGTAATTGTGTTTAATTTTTGTAGAAAAATAAGACGTTTACACTGAAACTCTGGAAGGCTAGAGTAAGGTGTTCTTGAGTTAATTTTGTTATCACTAGAGAATTTTTTTTAACATGGGAATGGTTCAGTTAAGGGTAGTAGATATTAAAGTCATTAGCTTGTGCGGCTTTGTCTAACATTACATAATCCATTATTTGCTGTGCCTGCGCATGGCAGGGGTACACTTATTAGCCTTGCATCAATGTTAGAGGCAGTATAATTTGTTTCCACTAGATGAGCTTTGTTGTTACAGGGGTGAGATTTCTCATTTTTTTAACTGATTTCAGCTTTTTTTGTTTTGGATTTCAGCTTTTTTTCTCACTGGCTATGTGCAAAAATATAAGAACTTTCCACAGTTCAGCTTCTTTATGCCTTTTTCAGCTGTTTTCAGCTATTTTTATCATTGGTCAATCTCACCCCTGTTATTATGCAATAGTAGTGTTAGGTTGTAAACTTACAATGCAAAGTTAATGTAAAACTCTTTAAATGTATTTGCTATTTACCACAGTGTTTTTTATTCAAAATTTGTAACGGATGGGAGTTTCAACAGCCACCAATAATGATTGCTGATGGTATGAATAACAAAAAGGCTGATTTGCTAAATGTTTGTGTACGTGATTTTATTTCATCACAGGCCCCTGATTAGTTTGAAAATCTAAATATATGCACAATATCATTTACAGGCCTCTCTAAGGGTTCCAGGTTGTAGTAATTTTGTTTTTAGTAAGTCATAAAGGTTGTGTTGCCACCATCACTCTATAAATGTATGTGTGAATGTAGTTCTGTAAAGAGCTGATTAACTCATGAAGTTTGAACAGTTTGCTCTTTTTCCCCTATTAAATGTTTGTTTTAGTATACTTAGTTTCTTTTTAACACCCTTGGGGAAGCTGCTGTACATGTTTTTTCCTAGTGCCCCAGCCCATAAAATATGTAAAAATGAGCACATTAATTTTCAGGAAATATATTTGTGTTTTTAAATGATTAAAGCTTAAAAAGTTAGGTACTTGGCTTTGCAGAGAGACATTAAAAATATGTTACCACCACAAATCCAAAGAGGAAGCTTATTTGGGGAGAGCAAACAGTGCCATTGCCGTTTTAAAGATATGTACTTGTGAAATATATTTAAATGCATGTATAATTTATGTTAACTACACTGTGGCAACTGAGTCATCCCAACTCCTCGTGGTTCCACTGTCCAAAGGCAGCCTTTTTCAATGTGTTTGGAAATGACTTGGTGCTATAGCAAAAGAGCAGTATTTGTTTCATGCTATAGTTTCTCTCCAAATCCCTTCAAGGATTGTTCTTGCCAAACGAAACTTTAAAAATCCAGTGTTTTTGTTTCATCAGTACACACATTTTGTAACAGTAAGTTCATGCCTTGATAATTTTGTCAAACAGTTCTAAAAAAAGTTATCCTTGCAAACAGTTTTTATCTTGAGAAAGTGGACTTGAAGCTGTTAACTTCCTCCCACACTCTAACTTTCAAGCCTCCGCAATAGAAGAGTTTACTGGAAGAGCCCCCTTCCCCTTTCCAAAAGTTCCTCTCCCCTCGTGGAAATTTTTTGAGAGATGTAAGTTTATTTTCGGATATAGGAAAATACTTGACTGAGTTAATACAGGTCAGTTTCACAATTTTGAAGGCATGCTAGTCAATTCCAACCCTCAACTTTAATAATACATGTATGCAAAATGTCAATTTGACAAGTAGAGGCTGACTCAAATTAGACCCTTTTTTAATGGGAGGGGGAGGGGACTTCAGAATGTATTCAGTGTGTTGTGTGTCATCAGTGCAAATGTTTTCTTAGTTTTCTTTTGATTTAAATGGTGAAATTTTGGTGCATTTTTAGAAATATATCTGGTTATAGTACTATGTTTTGAAATATCTGTTTTGCAACTGGACAAAGACGAGTCATGTACATTTAAAGAGAAATGAAATGAACAGTAAATGTGTAATAAATGTCAATCGACATAATACATGTGCAGTGTATTTTTGGTTTGGTGCTCATTTTGTTTAGTTGTACAAATGTGCTTCATTAATAACGCAGTGGTTTACCTTATGAAACCATGGAGAAAATAATGTAAAGTTACCCATACCGGTAACTGCATATTTTGTTTTGTAACTTGGTAATTTGTGGGCTTTGGAATAAAATTTAAGTGAAGCGACCTTTTATTGGGAATTTCCATATCTTAACATGTATGACTCGCTTGCGCCCTGCCATTTAGTTTTCCCCTACGCTCAGATCCATATAGACACGAATCCGGTGAACTATGGCTACGGTTTCATTATTACAAAGTACGTTGCTTAGAGGTCATGTTAGGGTCACCGTACCATGCCACTGTACTGCGTTGTTATAAACAACCAAGATGGCGGACAACGCTTGGCTAGTAGATGGAGTTGTTCAGTATTTGAGAAGCCCCATTTGGCAGATGCCAGTCATGGGCTTTATTGATCAACACTGCTTGGGTAAGAGGACAGTATGGTCAAATTCCACAATAATGTTTTAAGTTTACTGCATTTTGTAAAAGTTGATTTCAGTCTCATAAATGTAAGAAAGACTTGCAACTGTTCACTTTGTGTCTGGGAAAGAGTTCCATATACGGACGCCACTTGACACCCTGTGCACAAACCCTACGGGTATCATGAGATTTGTCTGAAAAATTGTTTTCTCAGAGTGTACATGTATGTAGGCCTAGTAATGTACATGTGATGTGTTGTCCTCATGTACATGTAGTCACAGTAACTTCCGAATTCTGTAGTCATGGCATTATACAGTTATCACTGCCAAGCTACATGTACGTGTACATGTAGGTGGTTTCAATATCCAATTATTGCCCTGGAATTGCAAGAGCCAGTCAGTACGCACACTGGTCTGCAATCTGCTTGATGTACAATTTTGTTTGGGGGGGGACTCTAATGCCCTTTAAAAAAATTGTGCAGGGGTGTGAATATACATGTACCATAAAAAAGGAAAACATGTGCATGTACCTGTAGCCTACAGAAAGTTAACATGCAATCTGATTAAAAAAAAACAAAGGAGTAAAAATAAATGGAAAAAAGTTTAAAAGAAGCCCTGTTATGTGGACACAATTGTGAATCACAAAAACAAAGAAGTCCATTACATGTAAGTCAAATTGTTCGCCTATGCACCTCGCGAGAATTCTTTGTATGTGTTGTTCTGATAAGAGCCGGGGGTTTACTGAGCATTTCGGACGGTATGTTCTGTCAGTTGTCAATACCATGTTTCGTTTCAGACTGTTTTACAAACTATATGTACATGTACACTGTAGTTTTGGAATGATCTTCATGAGATTTACAGTGTACAATTTTGGTGTTGTTCTTTTTTTAAATGTTGCTACTGTATCATCAGATTTTGCAGTCATTTGTTCAGGTGCGAAATCCTAAGCACTCATTTCCCCAAAATTATTTTATTTCCTCTCACACCAGTGTTTGATCCAGAAGAAGAAAACAAACTTGCTTACACAGACATACACAAAAAGTACCAACAGTTGGTGAGTTTCCCTTTCCAGAATTACCAGTTCTGTTGCTTCCATTGTGTGTAAATCTGGTTCCCATGCCATATTACACCGTGCATGTGTGTCAACTATCTGAGAGAATCTTTATCCAGTAGCAGTTACAGTCTTGTGTGAGGAATTTCCTCTCAGTTTCTGAAAGTGAAACCTTCCAAAACAGTCTGAAAACATCTGAATGCCTTTCATTGATTTTTGGTTGTTATTTTGTGTTTGCTACGTGTAATATCTACATGTGCACATGTACATGTATGTCATGTGAAAATCAACTTTCCTTCCTGATCTACCTTCGTGCTATTTTTCCTTGTGTGCTTTTGCAACCTTTTGCCCAAGACTTGATAAAGCTGAACATTCAAATACTAACTCAAAGGCATACATATTTAAAGAGACATTGGTACAGCCGACATTTTGTTTTGTGCTGTTCTAGGTAACAGTGCTATCAGTGCTAACATAATAGACTTCAAGGTGTGTTAGGACAGGGAAATACTAGTACTCTAAGAGTGTGTTTATATGTCGCCGATCATTGGGGACTTGGTTTTTTGTTTTTCTTTTTTTGTGTTTTTTTTGATAGGTGGAGTTTATGTTGGAGAGCTTTGTGGACGACATCGGTATCAAAGCAGAGGATTTCGTGAAAGCCTGCCAGGGACACGAGTCCCAGTCTAATGCATCTATCATGGTACGTGTAGGTGTTTCAATATACCAGGTTGTGCCTGACACTTTTGGCTACTGGTCATTCTATAAATTCAGAGTCGAAAATTGTGACATTTTTGTTCCCCTGTTACACCTGAACTGTAAATTTGATACGGATATACCAGTATCACTGAAATTGATTTCAAAACTATTTCTAGTTGTTTTGCATTGCAGGTAATTTGCATTAATTCATCGCTCATGGAAATTAGAGATTCTGTTCTGAACTTACAAATCATATGTCAGATGTGACAGGAACACGAAAAAACGGACCCCAGATTTATAGAATGACCCTACTGTAGCTACAGCCACTTCCCGTAGATACATGTGCTATTCCCAGCAACAGCCAGTAGAGTCAGACACGGCTCCTAATTGCTCAGCATACAGCATACAACTGTCATGCACCTGATTTTGTTCATCGCGACAGTGTTGGGTAGCATGTACATGTACATCCTAATCGGCTCCTTGCAGGAATGCTGTTCTTTTACATGGCAATATTTGTCCATGGGTGGGAACTCACCATGTACACGCACATGTACGTGTATATGGATAGGTTTGTGTGCCTTTAGTGTGGGCCCTGCTGAACACACACAATCAGTGTCTGTTGGAATGTTCATGTATGGTCTTCACATCTTTACCGAGAGCCCATCAGTCTCATCTTTGATAGTGGGAAGATATATCAAGCGCTAGATCTGGGTATCTGCCCTGAGTGGAAGTGCACCCTCACAGGCTTAAGAAAGACAGGCTGGTGAGACGTTTTCCAGTAAGACATTCCTGCATGTGTTCGGTGCACACGCCAAAATCATACATTCTAGCATAAATTTGTTGCATGTACTCAGTGTGACCCGCGGCAACCGTGCATAAACTTGTGCACTCAGCAGTAAGTTCCTACCATAGAGTCCTCATTTTCCTTTAAAAATGCCCTCTTTTTTTCCTCTTGGAGCAGATTGACCATTTCAAAATATGTTTGCACAACAACGGATACACCTGTACTTGAGCCATGTTCAAGACAATGCCCGACCATGGCCCACGCCTGCTTGAAAACGACTCACGCTCAACCTCTCGACAATTTCCAGCCCAGTGTTTCTGTGTGTATACAACTCAGTGATAATCACTCAAGTGTGAGGATAAGAACAGAAACACACAGCATTGCCAGAGTGTACTTAAATGCTCCCTGCATTTTGACACGTGAAATCTCTGCAAGGTTAGATGTTGACTAGTAGGAAGAAGTTTAAGAGAAAGATATCACCAGCAAATAACTTCAGTAATAGTTCATTAAGATTGGTAAAACAACAACGTTAAATTATGGTCTCAAAGCTCACACAGAAACCATGTATCTTACAACAAAACTTGAAGCAAAGTTTTTTTACTTTGGCATACCCCCACAGACATTGTTCGAACAGGTGGAAGCAGCCCAAGACTTTGAGGTCTTCAAGCGTATGATGATCAAGCACAACATTGAGCTGGAGCTGCAGGCCTTGCGCGTCATGCAGGTGCGCAGTGGTATGGTACCAGACATCATGCAGCCAGGCAAGGACACCACGGTCAAGTATACGGACGCTACGGTGGACACGGAAGATGAAAGGATCCTGAACGAGATTCTCAGGTGAGGGGAAAAGTCCTTGCGGGATATAGGTGATGAGGGTCTTGGACTGTGAAGGGCTGGTGAGCCAGTGTTATACAAAGGCAAGGTCATTCAAGAACAAAGCATTCGTACGAATTGAAAGGGTAGCATTTGCACAGGCTTATTGCTGTTCTAGTGGATGGACACACTTCATTTTGGCCAAGGCTGTTGGAATACCAATTGGGCTGCCAAAGTAGAAAATTATGTTCAGCAAGAAATTCCAGGCCGCCTTTGCTTTGTGGTTGCATGTAGTTTGTTCCACTCTCTAACACTGTTCATCAAAAATAACTACATGTACTATGGGTATACACAAAGGTTTTCAATCCCATGCTGATTCATGGGAGCCTTTCTGAATCTTTCAAAATCCTCTGCTGTGTACTGTAGTACGACTCATGCCATTCAAAACTGAAAAACATTGTCTTGTAAAGGTTAGCATTGCCTTATATTTGTCAAAGTTTAAGTTGCATGTCTGAAATATGGAAACTCAGTTTTAAATCGTTTCTAACCAAAAATGTTGATGTTTATTATATCTTTCATCAAAAAATGGTGCCTTTTTTTCAGAGTGTCTTAATTTAACAACTTCAATTTTATTGTTCTTTTTCCTTTTCAGGAAATCCAAAGAGGAATACGACGCTCTTAAGAAGCAAGGGAATGAGAAGGAGGCTGGGATAGATGCCCTAATGGACAAGGCACTGGCAAGCAGTCGGGAAGAGGCTGAGAGATTAAAAAAGGAGAAGGAAAAAGAGGAAGAGATGCTTAGCAAGGTATGTTGATGTACAATCTTGAGTTGTCTTGTGTTGTAGGAATATTTGATGGGGTTATATGTATCTGGGATATGCTTCTGCGACCACGACCAGAATCACATCTTGGCTTTAATCCTCAGTTGGGCATTTTCTTGACTTCAGTTGTGCCCGTGGGACGACATTGTTCCGACTAAATCAAAACCGAAGGTTGGATTTGGTTCAGCATCAGTTCAAATTGACCAAAAAAGTAATTTTGGTCACCTCCAAAGCAATTTAATCGTGTCCCTGATGTGTTGTGGCAAGCAGTGATTCAAAATGAGTTTTTCTTGCTGGAATGTGAAAAGAGAGAGCAGCAGTTATCAGAAACTTGCCAAGCTTAGTTAAAATGATTCTTGTTAACACCATCTGCACGCTTTGTCATCTTTTGTCTGAGTGGACACACCAGAGAGCTGTGTGTAGAAGTAGAGAGAGTTATGACATTGGATTTGAAGCCATTTTAGTTCCAAAATCTGCATGTGTGTCTATGCACATAACAATCAGTCATCCAGCTTTGACATGTTGTTTGTCATTTTCACCTCAACATGCTGGAATTTACAGCCAATTGGAAATTGAAAAATTACATGTACTTCAACTTCATGCACCACAGTTGACGATGGCACTACATACATGTAGTATGACGTTGGGGAGTTATAGATTGTTTATGTTAACAATGAGCCTTTTAACAACTGTCTCCTTCACCAATGTTTCTTACTGTGTTCACTTCTTATTGAACAGGTTTTAAAGGAAAGTAGCGATGATTACCAAAGAAAAGAGGCCCAAGTCAATAGAGAGAAAACGTTATTGGATAAGGTAGAGAGGTTGCTTGATTGATAAAAGGCAACGTTAATGTCTTATTTTGGCTCAGGCCAAGGAAGCCATTTTTGCATGCAGAGCTCCATACCCCAGAATGACTAATCCATTATTAATGCTTGATTGCGGGCATGGTTCTTAAAACAGCTAATTTTGGGGAGCATTTTTTGGGCATGTCAAAGTTTAAGAAAACACTGTATACAAAGGGTGATTCTGACCTCTGCCATTTGCCTGTACGTATGTTTCCTTGAACAACTTAAAAGTCTAATACTTCATATTTGACTTGCTTTGCCTCATTTTGAGCTTTGCATTGATTGTACATAACATTCTGTGTTGCTTGTAGGCATGGTAGGGATTCTTCTTATTGCATCTGTTGCTTTTAGTATTACTTTTTTAATACCATCAGCATTTGTCTCAATCATTTCATGTTCCCCTTGTTCAAGTATTGAGTGTTACGGTAAAGTACGGTACCAGCTATTTGCAGTTGGTTGTGCCTTTTGTTTTCCTGTGGCAAAGGCAAAGAAAACCAGTCACTGACAACTGCTGATAAATTTGACCATGAGTTAATTATTCAACATACAAACATGTGACATTAGAGTTGATCCAAAAAGCCAGTACAAACATACAGATTTCAAGTTCTGTCTCAAACTACTCCTGGTTGAAATGTCATCTGTACATTTCCAAACCCCCCTCCCCTCAGGGAAAACATTTCCAACTAATTGCAGTGTCCATCAGAAAATATAATTTTTCTGAATTTTTAGTACTTTTATTTCTGTTTGCACTAGAAAGTGTTTCTGTAGATGTTTCAGTTATTTTGGAATGCTGATGAAAGTAGAGATGATGTGGAGGGCTCCTGTTGCTGTACATGTGCATTGTGTTAGATTCCTTCAAAGACCATTATTAACTCAAAATTGGCTGTGGTGACTTGGAACTCATTTTCATAGACATGACAGAGTGGGTGACACATTTATAAAAATGTAATGCAATGATGTAATGAAGTAATAGTGTGTTGCAACATAGTATCGGTATCAATGTTTTAGACATTAGGGGGGGGCATACAGTGTACTTTGCCTTCCCCTTGAGTACCAGTTTTCCCCACTGTGGTTTTACAAAAAGCCATCACCCCACAGTGAGCAGTTGGTAAAATAGAATACATGCCAAACTACATGTTCGCACAGTACATGTACATGTACCGGTCCATGTGAATCTATCAATCCCCATACATGTACTGTACATTTACAGTGTACATCCTTAATGATCACTATTCTACATGTATGTACATGTAGTGGTGCATGGTCCTATTTATCCATGTAGCTTCTCACTTATGGTCACATTCTGTCGAGAAACAGCTTATTGATTCAAGGTCATGCAGCGAGCTTCCAGAACCCTCGCGCGGTCCGCCTGTGGGATTTTACTTGGGGCTGTCCTATCACGTTCGATAATTTTTGGAAGAAGATTTCTAACTAAAACCACCCCATGAAACACTGATGTTGGAATTTCACCTTTGTTTTTCTCAAGTAATATTCAGGAATAGTCACCTGGAGATGGGCAAAAAAAGAATTAACGACCTTTCACTTCCAGCGGTATCGTATTTAGGTTTCCTTATTCATACACGTTTGTTTTCACTCCTGTGCAAACGTGAAAATGAGATTGTACAGCGTTGCAAAGATTTTACCTACCTGCTATCAATGTGTTCCAGATTCCATTGAGTTGACATGAGGCAGGTCTTGTAGCAAAGGTTACATTAAATATTAGAATCTTTCATAAAATTAGATTACTACTTTTACCTTAAACCCTAACAGTCCCAAATCCTCCAATTTCAATATGATTTTACATACACCCTTGGGGGTTAGGGTTAAATTAATAAAAGGTGTAAAATATTTTTATCTGTTTTTATTTTGACTTTAACAGACTACCATTAATTTTCAAACCGTAAATGTTCCCCTAAGTATTAGACTGCCGCATTGCACTGTTCTTCATGCACAATGTACATGTATTTTAGATTTTTGGAAGTGAAGGTCAGTTTTGGGCAGAATATATATTTCTCTTGTAGGTCAGGTAATTTGTCAGTTTCTATAAATTGATATTTGTACTTGCAAATATTTTCTGAAGTCCTTTTTCCCAGTTGGATTTTTTTAAGTAACTGAACAAAAAAATATTATAAATTTTAAAAGTTTTTCATGTTATCTTTCCTGTCCAAGGGTTCTGGAAGCATGCCATCAGGGGGTCTACTTTCAGGCTTTATGCCAGCAGCAGACAATCTCTGTGTTTCCATAGAAACAACTTCCTCATATCGAACAATATCAGTTTTTCACGCAAGTGAGCAGAAACCAGTGAAGTTGTGGAAATGCAGAACTCACTGTTTGTGAACATTGGAGCCTTTTGTTCCACAAACATTTTTTACATGAGTTTAAAGAAAAGATAAAGACTGCAAAAGTGTTTTGATCAAAAGGCAGTTTGTCATGCTTTTTCAAGTTAAAATTTTCCATACTAACATGAAGAGGGTAGATTGTGCATGTATTATTCGATTGGGCAGCAAGTCAAAATGAGCTGTCTACATGTATTAACCTAGACCCTTCAAGATTTTTCAAATTCCTGTAGGTTTTAGAAGATTTGAAACGATTTTGGAGGGTGTAGTCCACATCTACGTGTACATGTAGTGGTTTGAGCTTGTTGCCCCAAGATGATTTAAAGTATTTTACCAAGAATATGCCTTCTATTTTCTGCACTATGTAGGATTTGAGGAGCAATGTATGTCCTACCATTTACAGGCCATTCACATTGGCCACGTTCAAGTCCAGCACACTGTTTGCCTCCATTGACTTTTCTTGTGTGCATGTACATGTACATGTATAGTTGTACGAAACAGATGGGGCAGTAGCATGTTTTAATATAAGCCATCTGGCAGTGAGTTGAGGTACCTTTGACATCTTAACCCATCATCTGTACCTGTGTATACAAAGAGCCAGATTCTGTTTACTATGGACATCACAAAGGTTTGGGGGAGGGGGTCAAAGAGAGTAGAGGGATGCTTTCCACCTCTCCCACCCCAGAAAAAATGAATAAAAAAATGGAAAAAAAAGAGATTAAATATCTTGGAATCAACCTCTTCTACCCTCAATGGTCTATCGGTTTGCTACTGAAGAATGCTCTGCCTTCTCCCTTCCTCCTCCCCCCCCAATTTCTGTTGACGCCCATAGTATTATTAAACGCATCCTCTGGCACACGTTGGTCTCTGGTTATTGGACTCTCATTGTTGGTTTACTTGCAGTTGTCATTTTGTTTTGGTTTGTTTCGTTTCAGGCATTGAAACTGTCCATCTCCACTGACTCATCCAAATCAACGTCCAGTTCATCGGGTCTGCCGCCCGTGACTCAACAAAGTCAGGTAGAAGGAATTTTGGGGTATGACTTGAGTGTAACTTGGGATTTTTTAGGTATTTGCCAAGATTGTCCGTTGAATGTTGCATATTAAATGCTTTGCTCATTATAGTTCCATTACAGCAGTTTGGTGAAGTTTGAATAGGGGTATATTAATACTATATGCATTTTATGCTTGTGTGAAAGGCAAACAGGAATTATGTTTCTAATTTTTCATTGCTAATGGACACATGTTCTCGTAAAGAAAAAGCTGGTACCTCTGGGACATCTATCATGTTGAACAAAAATATTATTGCAGAGGGTGCCTTCTTTTTGTCTGTGTGTGTGTTAAAACTCAAATTTCAAGTGGCAGAGTAAATTAAAGGGTGAGGCTTGGTGAGGCACTGATGATTTGATGTACAGTTGCAGGCATTATTTATCGACACTTTTTTTGAAGTTTGTGTGACTCCACCCTGGGGTCACTAAATGTTTTTTGCACTCTGACAGTCAGTCAAGACAGTCAGTGAAAAGTGTACTACTTTCCATGTTCTGGTCTTGCACTGCGGTAATGACCCGACCAACGTTAGGACACACCATAACCACTGATGCATGAAGTGCCATGTGTCTGGCTGAACAACTCACTGTACGAAGCAGGAGAGTTGATTCTTTCTTTAAAGCACCAGTGGTCAGAATAATGTATTATTGATTACTGCATTTCGTTGACTGTCAGTGGGGTAATGACGATCTTCTTTGCAGAAACCGAGTTCAAGGCCTGAGTCCAAGGCAAGTACAGTTAGCAGCACCTCGAGCAGCAAGCCAGCCCCAGCAGCTCCAGCCCCAGCAGCTCCAGCCCCAACTGCAGCAGCCAAGAACGTGAGCAGTGCACAGGCTGCAGCTGACTGGCTGAGCACCGCCAAGGCCGAGGCGGCAGCAGAGGAAGCCGGCCGAGGCTCCAGGGCTAGCGTGAGTTTGGGAAATTGTCGCTTCCTGGCCGCAGTGTCATAGTCAAGCCTATGACAAGTTCTCACAAGTCAAGTGAAGACAAGTCCCCGCAAGCCCATCACAAAGCCATTACAAGTCACAGTCTTGAAGACATATCACAAGGGCCGCATTAAAGCGTGTTACTTGTGTTACTCCTATTAACACAGGTATACTCCTGAGCATATGCATGGCAGGAGGACAGCCAGTAGGTGAACAAAAGCATACTCTCAATCAGACCCAAATTGTACTCTTGAATCTTGTGGGCACGTCAAGATTGCAGAAAGAGAAATGTTTTCCATTCATGTGATGCGATCCAAGGGTAATGCACATGAAACATTTTCCTGAACCCCAAGTATTGAGAGTAATGCAGCTGTGTTAATAATGTTTAACTGCTCAGACATACATGTACCTTGGTTTTCATTTATATCAGGGGATGAAATCTTCACTTTTTATGGGATTTCCGCTTTTTTGTTGAAAATGCCAAATTTAACTTCTGCTTTTTTGCTTTCGACTGGCCAGATTTCCTCATTTTTTTTTTCTTTCGCAAGCGCTGATTTTTCCGTTTTTTCTTCTTCTATCGATGTGATAGCCAGGCCAAACTTGGCATGTCCTCTTTCCAACACCAAACAGTACCTGAGCGCCATAATACACATGACTGAATCTACTGTACGTACATGTACACTGTACATGCACATGTGTGTCGCGTACGTGCGTGCAATTTATACAGATCTATGTGTGGGGAGGTTCGTCTGTAAACAGCATCCTCGGACCATCCGGTAATTGTGCTATGATTGGCTGCAAATGAAATACCAATATTTGTATATCTGTCATGCAGTTGAACTCGTTGCAGCTGTTCCTGCATGAGCGGAAGTAGTGGCTAACCTCCACTATAACTCTTTGTAGCATACATTTCATTGTGAATTTCCAGCTTGAAGTAAGGTTAGTAAGTTTTTGCTTTCGCTGATAGAGGGGTTCGCGACAACCGGTGCAGAGTACACAACGTTCTTCTTGTGTCATGCATTCTCGTGCGGTTTGCATCATTTTGTACGGGCATTCGAACAATTTTTAGACATTATATCGTCGAAGAATCAGTGCAACACATGAGTACCATTGTTCAAAGAGGTTCCGACTTGGATAGCGATCCTTAACGTATACATCTGCAGAAATGGACATGAGTGGAATACAGTGTACCATAGACGTGACGGGCAGGCAACACAGTCGGCAACCAGAAAATGTAAAAGCCTGGCCATGCGATGTACGCGCACAATGTGCATTATTTCAAGAACTGATATTTTGAAAACACTCAGAACAGGTGGGAAAAGGGCCAACTCACTCTACAAACGTCGATATTTACAATTTTGGAATACTTGTTACTAGTTCATTTGGAAAGAGTTCCATACACAGACCAACAACACTTCATGCCTCTGTGCACAAACCTATGAGATTTTTCTGGAGAAAAAAATTTCTAAGTAAATGCTTCAGAGTTTTCTCACCTCTTTTGTCCTAATTTTTAGGACATGTTTTCACTTTCTGATGGCTGTTATAATATTTTAAGGGAAAATCAGTGTTGTCCGTATATGAAGTTCTTTTTATTCATTTTAACCTCTTCAGGAATTTCAGACAAATATGCAGAAAAAGTGAAATTAAAAAATTGATATGCATAGCGTAAATTGCAAGTAAACAATGATCAATGGTTGCACTAGGAGGCTGTAAAATGCACCACAGAGCATCCATATTTCAAAATTTCCCTGACCCGACGCTGTATAAGCTTCATGCTTCGCGCTCGCGATTTCAGCTATTTTCAACTTTTTTTTTTATATTCCTTTCACACCCCTGCTTAATGAAAACAATGGTTTTCCTGGACTTTCAAAAAGGACCTGTGATTTACTTGATTACATCCTTGCACCACGACATAGTGGAATAAGAGATGTAAGGCAGGGGGTTGACCCTTTCTGCCCTTCACATTTTGAAATTATTACCTCTTCTCCCGCCTTGGATCCTTCTCTACAAAGACCAGGGAAAGTCTCCAATTTCAGGCAGCTTTAGATAACACAACACACTGGCACGATACATGCATGTAAACTTCAAAGTTGTGATAGTACGCTTTAATATCGCAGATATTCAGGAGTGGCAATGTACATGTACACTGTGGTTTTTATGTGGCATTAGATTTGGGAACCTCCAGACTTCTTGCTCAGTTACATGAATGTTGCCAAATTTCTGGGGAAATTTGGCTTGGATTGGAGAAGAAAGTTTGGACAATTTAGGCATTTGCAACAGTTGGAGAGGGCCACAGTTGAGAACTGTATAAGAATTTATTAAACCAGAGTGAGGTTAGTCAAAAGCTGTCATGGCTCATGACAGTAGTTCTGGTTTCAAAGTTAGAAATTTTACAGAAAGGTAATATTTACACGTGCAGGTCTCATCATCAGATGCAAATGAGTTGAAGAAACGCGAGGAGTATTTGAAGAAACAGCGTGACCTGCTAATAGAAATGAAGAGGAAGGAGAGAGAGAAGAACTTCAAGAAAGAGACAGAGTCCCAGTCTAAGGCATCATCACGTCCCAAATCAGCAAGAGCGGCACGCCAGGCTACAGCTGGTGAGTGTAATTAGCCAGGTTTTTGGAGGTTTGGTCTTTAATTTAATTAAATAAAGATAGAAACAATTACCCCTAAAGGAAAAACTTGAGTCTCACTCTTCTCCAGCCGCTTCTTGACTCGACGAAACAGTGAAGATTTAATATGTACAGTGATTAATACTTAGGAAATGTGTCCTTTCACGGGAACAGTCACCGTAGGGAGAAAACACTGCCTAATCAGATCCTATCCCCGCATCTGGACACAAGTTGAACTAAGAAAAAAATGGCTGCTAGATGAAGTAGTGGACCAGTGACTTGTGGAAGCTCGGCTGCACAGCAAAGGAGTGAATGTTGCATTCTGCATGCACTAAGCTTTTATACTACTTTGCTGGAATGAAGAGCTCTACCCTGTCCATTGAATTCAATTATAAAAGCCGCAGGTCTGAACAAAGAGGGGGATTAACCGACCTCTAAAAAAAGCCAGGGCAGGACTGCAGCGCTAAAGCTGTTCAGGAATTCACTACAGGTTCAATTCACATGGGGCATTCCACTCATTTCATCTGATCAGTGCTGGAGTAAATAACGAGGATTCTTTGAAACAGTTCATTTTGATGGAGAGCACTTACATCAGAAGTAAGCAGACCATTATTTCCATGTGCAAGATTGCCAGGAGTTGCTACATGTATGTTGAAGCTGTAAAGCGGCATTGCAAATCTCCACTGGAGTACAAGTGTGACCATGCCTACTCGAAATATGCTACACCTGAAGAATTTCATTGCTACAGTCACATATATTCCTAGCATACTTGCTTCCTATTAAGCCACTCATGAAATTTTTCTTCAGCATTTGTGAAATCATTCCTTCAGTGTATACTTCTATTGTACATATCTTTAGAATTATTTTCATTATTCAGGGGCGACCATTCTGCAACGTAACCTCACATTTGGGCCCTAGACCTGTATGTAATGAAAACCAAACACATGATAATAAGCCAGTTACAGCAGTGCATGCTTAAAAAATGAGGTACATGTACATTGTAGGTCATTTAAGGGCATCAGTATTTGTACACATGGTTGCCCAGTCAGCACAGCCATACATGTATGTTAATTCGCATCCACTGAGCATAGTCAAAGTACCGCGTAGCACTTAGTCAGGTGCTTTGCTTTTAAATGACCTTACCATTTTGACATACCAAACAGGCTTATGGCAGTCTTTCACATTTCTATCTAGTGAGCTGTTTCTGCCATTCTGGTTCTCCATTTTCTGCGTTGTTGTGTCTGTGTTGGACTTATTATTTTTTTCCCCATCTCTGGGTTGTGCTCTGTTATTCTCTGTGCTTCTGTTTGTGCATCTGCGGTTCATGCCCATTCATGCTTTGTCATCCCTTCTGCAGGCGAGGTGAAAGTGGATCCTGCAACAAGCGCTGAACAGGAGAAGAAGCTGAAGATGCGGCTGGCACTGGCAGATCGGCTCAAGAAAGAAGTCATCAACGAAAAGTGATCACATGGCATTATTCGCAGCACTGCAAGGGCAGCTTGGTTGAGGTGGAGGAATGTTAAAAGCAACTGACTCGTCACACACATGGTACTCACGAAGAGCTGGTAGATACAAGCCACTGAACAAACTTTAGGTGCAATGCTACGATTGACAAAACATACCAAGAAGTTTTTGGGATCATTTCCTTGTAATTGCAGTTGATTTCTGTTGGCCTCAAATAAGTGTTTAAAGCTTTTTGCACCAAACAGCAGTTGATCGTGTAGTTTCAGCGTTAGTAACACCATTTGCAACAAGGTACAGTGTTAGGCACCTCAACACCAACATTGAGTTAGCTATAGAGTGATGGTGATTAAATGAAATCAAAAGAGGGATTAAGCAGGGTTCCCACGGTCATGGAAAGTCCTGAAAAATCCTGTAAAAAAGTTGTTTTGGAAAGACCTGGAAAACAGGAAAAATAGTGTGTCCTTGAATCCTTTTGTCAGAGAAAAGGTTATGGAAATCAAGATCATGTAAGGGTTATTTTTTATGGGCCTCATTTGATATGATAATGAAATGGTGATAAATTCAGAGCCTGTATCCTAACCTCTATCCTAGCGGCTAAGGCAGTCTTCCAGTTCATAATGCATCAGTGTTGGAGGTCTCGAGGCCAGCCTTAGCGTCGAGGCCGGCTTTTCAAAGCCTTGGCCTCTGCCTCGCTTCGCTTCACAATTACTCAGTCTTCACTCTTGGCCTTGGTCTCAGCACCCTCTGGAATCGAAGAATCAGTTGAGGCCGGTTCGAGGCTGCCCATTTTTAGTCATTTTTCTCAGCTTCTACATGTCTTTTCCCCCTTGACAATTTATCTTGACAGAGTACTTGCAGCATGCATGTGCTGTGGGCATGGATCATTTTTGTATACAAACACGGAACCTATACTCTCCAATGACGTGACGCCGCTGAATAGTTTTTTATCCCCAGGGAACATACTTACTTTCATTGATTGTTGCGTGAAAAGGATAGCTTTTCTATTGCATGAATTAGGCTACATGTACTTATCGTTTCCAAGTTCCACATTTTTCCTATTTCTGTATCACTTGAAATAAAAACCTACCTTTTTTGTGTTGTTCTTCAGTTCTATGTTCCAAGACAAGTTCTGCTAGGGAAAGTGAAATGTAAGCCTTTTGTACAAATATTCTCAGAAAATTCTAGAAAAGAAATTTTGGCCAGATTTCTGATTCACACTTCAACTTTTTTGAACGGTTTGTCAAAAGTCACGGGAGCCAAAAAAATTTCACTTAAATTTACAGGGTCACTCACTACGTGTGATTCCAAGTCATATAAACGTTTGAATTTAATGTCTGTTTACTTAAAATTGACTTTTAGAGTTGCTGTTTGTTTAAAATTGGCCAAAAACTGAACACATTTTTCCCCTGGTTTCGGATCGCACATAATCTGCATGCAAATACGTATAAGGTTTTCTATAAAAGTGTTGAATGTCATGGAAATCTCATAGGTTAGCCCTGGGAAAAGTCATGGAATATGGTTTTTAGATTTCTGCAGGAACCTTGTTTAGTCATGGTTATCAGGTGTAAACTCGCAGATTTTCTCACATGATTACATGTTGCATTTTAAAAAGCAAATATCGAGTTTGTAGTTAAGACCACCTTAAGTCATCAAATGTCCCTATTACCATACCACAAGGATTCCTCAATATGCTCAAGTCGTACCTGTATCAAGTCAAGTCATGAGCCTTTCATATGAAACTGAGTCATTCTCTCTCATTATTCTTATTAAATGTTTCTGTGGCTGGTGACATAACTTACGAGGGGCATGACTCCAAAGTTTTTATTAACATTTTTTAAAATCGTGAAGTTTTCAAGGCTTGCTTCAGCCCTCATTAAGTTGATGGAGATTGTGTTCACATCAGTGCTGCTGTACTAGTGTGCAGTTGTTTAACCACTTTAGCGTAGTGCCTAAAGATTACTTCGTGCGGCTATAAACATCCGTTAAATGAAATGATGAATTTTTCATGCTGCCGCCATAGACATGCAGAGCCTCGATCTGGTAGCTTTACACAATAGATTTAGCCAGTTCAGTGATTCCCATGTATGTTGCTTAGTCATTTTGGCCATGCTGTGTCACCTCTTATACTATGTGGTTTGACAATATTTCAAAAGCTGTGTTGACGCAGTTCTGATGTGATTCTACAAGCTGCCAGTTCGAGGCTCTGCACGTCTATGGCGATAGTGTGCAAAGAGCGAATGGGCCTTGAAAATTTGTGACAAGAAACCAGTCAAGGAAAATTCACTGCAAAACAGTATGTTAAGGAATTTTGAACGGGAGATTTTCACAGTGGGTATACAGGTAACTCTGTACAGAAGTACATGCACTGCATGTCAGCCTTGGTAGGATTCAAAGCCCAAATTGCAGAAGTAGAAGGGGAGGAGATCAAGTTCCACTGCCCCAACCGACTCCCCCAAAATTATTAGGAAACCTCAATTAAAAAACTCATTTTTCCTTGCACTGTGAATGTTCATTTTAGCTGTGGATTTTTTATAGTTTTTGTTGTTTTTGGCGTGGTAGTTTCCTTGACGGTTCCTCTTCACATTCCTTCAGATAACCCGGAGCCCAATCTATATGTACCTCTGTGTTTTTCAGCAAAGAAGAACCTTGTGTGGACCTGGCCTAGTCCACACAAGGTTCACAGAACCTGCATTATGTGGGCCTGTTTTTTCTAAAGTACACAGAATGTACAGTGTACAGATATAAAACAAGCTTAGAACAGCAGATAAACACTTTTCTTATGTTGTTCATGTGAAAGGAGCCCATTAAAAATATCAAGTGATGCTTTTGTAATTCAGGGACTGTATTTTATTGAGGACTGATGACAGTGCATGTAGCTTAAGGACTTGATGTTGGTCATATTGTTGTGCAAGTTCATACAATTTGGACAGGCGGGCTAATTTGGCAGGAGCTTGAGTGTGTAATTTTCATTGTACAGTGCAATTTGAAATGTGCTAATTGAATGTAGGAGCGTGTAAATTTACCAAGTAATTCATGTAAGATATGCATGTTTATCACTCTGTTGTCAAGTAGTTTCATATAAGCATGTATTCAGTGTGAATTGTCCAGTGCTATAGTCAAGATCACGCACAAGACCATTCACACACCAGACACATGGATATTCAAAACACCAGTTACAAGATCAGTCACAAGTCCAGACAAGACCAGTCACAAGCAACAAGGTGAACAGTGACTAAGGAATGCTTTTGCGACAGTTCATTTGAATAGCTTGTGACTTAATTTCAGACTGGAGGTCTTGCATTGGTCTTGAGTGGTCAAGACTACAACACTCTCACTGTCTTATGGGAGTTGAACTTGTATAGTCATTTTATACCAGGTACCCTCACAAATATATTCACAGTGGTTATTTATCCTGGTTGGCCTAAACACCGTCAGTAGGGGCTTACTTTAGCCTTGTGCATGACATTTGCATATGTGTGACCAGAACAAGCGTGAAGACATGATGCACATATAATTCCTGGAGTATAGTGCCCAGTCAGGCACTATACTCAAAAGCATTTTTGGCTGCTTACTGTTTGGTCACTTGTGCATATCTCTGTCCCCCTCAGAGTACATAGATGTGCACTAGTGACCTCATTGCCAGTCCACTGTGTATGATGGTCTTGCTTTATTATACATACCTGCTGTTGGGTTTTTGTTTTGTTTTGCTGTTGATACCGAGGTATACGCAGTAGACTCATCTATTATCATATGGTCCACTTTCCATACACCCATAATACAGCATGAAATTATGGTTAGACATGGTCAGTTTTACGACCACTTTTCAAATTTGACCAAAGGCAGATGTGATCGGACTAACTATCCAAAGGAAATGAGAAGGTTTAAATCCAAATACAGAGTCCTGTATGTGTTTTTACTCTGGTGTATGTGCTTGTGACATTATAAACGGCAAGGCCACTTTATGGTGTGCATTTAGGCGTTTGAAAAAAAAAAGAATTTGTATTGAATTACAGTGTAGGCAGCTGGTTTCCAAAAGACAAGAGTTTTCTGATAGAAATGATGGCAGTTGGAATCAGTGCTGTACACGTATGTTGTCCAGCTTCTGTATTAGTGACAACTTGCCACACCGAAGCAGCTAGATTTATCCATACATTTGCATTGTCAGGCAGTTGTGTGTTGTTTGTAATATGTATGTTGATAAATGTACATGTACAAACAAGTGCCTTAGATTTAGAGGTAACAGGGAGTCCATCACCAGTTAAAAAAGCAATGGAATGGGCCATTGGTGAGTGATCCACACCCTTTTCTAGTCAGACCTGTTTATTATATGGTACACTAACTTGTTCATGTGTTTCACACATACATGTACCAGCTCAGAAGGCACATTGTACAAGGTGCGTATGTATTACAGATATGCTTGGGAGGTTTCTAATAAAAGAAAAAAGAATAAGTATTAAGAGCCCTTTCAGAAGTAACGTTCAGTTTAATACTTGGATATGAAATAAGTTTGCTTCACTTATTTCTTGCTTTGAAGAGATTAATGTGTTGAACTCCTTTCAAACTGTGCACACACCGACTGTACTGTTAAAGTTGCATTCACACATCTTTTAGTGAAATGTTCTTTGCAGTAGGCTCAGCTTATTCAAGCCCTGCACACAACCTTGTTTTAGCCAGCCAGAATAAAGAATCAACGTGTTACCAGTGTCCATGATTCCTATGCAAAACAATAGCCTTACAAGCAGTTGCAAGAGTGCGCTGATCAGTGTTTATATCTCTTTCCCAAACCTCATTTACTGCCTCATACAGGGGGCACCAACTCACAGGCACCTTCACTGTTAGAAGTCTGTTGCACAGTACTTTCACTCAACTGTTGATTTTCATCTCCTTTTCTGTTCCCTTTTATTTTTATTCCCCCTTATGCCAATGGGAGTGTCTATCATCTATTCAATCACTGTTCAATAATTGTGTACTTCATTCTGAGAAAGAATAAAGCGTGAGCTCATACTCAACAGAAATGATCATTTCTTCAGCCTGCTCATCATGTGATGTTTTGAAAAAGCTTTTACGTACTACAGACTGCATCTTTGAGGCATGACACAAACACACTAGCTAAACACAATGTATTATGAAGAAAATATTTATTTACATACACCTAATAGATTCTGTACAACACCTGTTCAACAGAGCAAAAGAAATAGTTCAATATTCAACATTTCATTGGTGAGTGGAACGACATCCAAATTGAAAAATCCAGTCATTGCTACTTTTTTCAAAGAAAAAAAAACATTAAAAGGTCTCCCAGTTGTGGAACACACGAAAAGACGGCTACCCAAAATGAATAACATTATATTCAAGTTTTGCTCTCAAAACAAAAGGGTCATTCACGCTGGCAACAGTACAGGTATTGAGAAGATAAATGGTCAATCCAGATATGACTCACGAAGACAAATGAAAAGGGTCTTCTACTTTTTTCAAGCCACATGAAAAAGGTCCGCTGCCCTTTTCATGCAACCAACAATCAAATGTTAAGTTGATGAAAGATTTCATTCCTGACAACTGCTTTTATATCACTGAAGTGATGACAAAGCAAGATATGAACGCTACAACACAAATACATCCACCAGTTTGGAAACCATGCAGTTCTCTTGAGAGGGGCCATTGCGAGTATTTACAAAATGAATGCGTCTTCTCATCAAAATAAATGCATTCCCTGAACATGATTTCTTCACATCAGCTTTAAAGTATCTGGAAGTGTGCCTGTGGGAATGAGCTTTCTGGTAAAAATTCAATCTATCTCATGAACCTCAATTTTCTTGTGGATGTACGACTCCATAAAGGAGCAACTCGAGAGAACACTAAAGAAAGTTCGAAGAACTGCTCATTCCAATTGAGAACATCTGCCATCACTAGTACGAACCGAACACTACTGATGCCCACATTAACTCGGGAACAGCTTATTCTCGAAGGAACACTTAAGTGAATTCCAACAGAAACATGCACTGTTCCCAAAAAGAACATTCCGAGTTCTGAGGCATTCCCTAATCCCCAACTGATTTAGGCTATGAAGGGAAACAAATCTATGAAGGGAGACAGGACCAAAGGAGTGAGATTCCAAAATAAATCACTGGGAGATTAGCCTTATCTTTAAAAATAGCAATAACCTGTACGGGCATTTTACTGGGTCTTAAATAAATGATTTCCTTTGATATTACACCAGAAAATGTCCTTTCCAGTTGTAGCAAAACTTGGGATGGGTTCGCTCTTGTTTCACAGCATACGCAGCTTTGAAGAAAAAACCTGCAAGTTTCTCTGAACAGGTTGAGGCAACAAAATTAACGAATAAAGTAAACAGAAATTGTCATCAGAAACACGTAATTACAAATTAAAAACATTACAGCACTGATGCTGCTTCAGGCTGCACGGTCACATTCTTGCCCCGCTCTCTCTCTCTTTGGTTCAAGCCACAAGGGCAACCGGCCGCTACTGACACGGTAAATTTTTTCGTCGCACTCTCGCCGTGATAACAGTTTTTACAAACATTGTAAATCACTGGCTTTTGTACAATCTACAATTTGTACACGTGTTTCAGTCATTAATGAGCAGGAACTGACCAGGTAATGCCAACATAACTCTGCCTTGAGTAAATGTGTTGGACAGGAAGGGTACAAGTCAAACGATGAAGGACATCGACTCTAAACAATTAGCTACAAGCTCACCCCATACCCTCTTGTAACTGGTCATGTGAAACCTCCATTTTTTCCAATTACAGGTCCACAATAGTTTCCATGCTGTAACAAATTTACATGTCAGGCTCGCTACAGAAATTCCCATCAGCACAGTGTTTTTTTTAATATGTAATGCATATGTGAGGAGTAAAGGACAAGGAAACTAGCTGACCAAAGGAAAAACTGCATGCCTGCTCCAGGCTTCAGATCTGTAGGGTGCACATCCTGTGAGACGCGGAATACGCTGGATCTGAAGGTGTCAAATGCGACAAAGGTCCCTCAAAAAATGAACAAAAATATCCTGCCCGAATTCAAAATTTGACAGCCTGAAGTGATCGATTAAAAAAATGCTCTTAGCACCTGTTAGAAAAAAACTGAGGAGTGAAAAAACAGAGACCTAAACAATTATCATCGAATAATTTTTTTTTCAAGCTCCAAGCTGGAGCTATTTAGAATATCCCACAGGTTAATCTGTTAATACCTGATATTTGATCTTACATTTACTCTTTCCCAATGTTGACTCCTTCACACTTGCCCTTCCTGTCACTCGTCACATATTCATGTGTTTGGTTTTTTTTAATTGTTTAGGGGAAACAAAAAATGGCCACTTTTGTCAATGCAAACTACTAGTGACTGCTGCGTAACCCTTGTACCAACTGAGACACACTTAAAAAAGGTCAACAAGAATTTTTTTAAAAAATGTTCCTACTGATACGACTGACTAAAACATTTCACCGACGTGAAATGAGTGTGACAATGCCTAGCTGCAACCCCACATCAGCCAAGAAGTGGGCAAAGCCCTTTCTCACCAATCCACCCCTTGTTCAACTGAAAGTTCTATTTTTTTTATCAATATTTTCATGATGTCACAAACCATGTACAATAAAACAAAAACACCAACAAGCAGGTACTTTCAAGTCATTTACAAGTATCTGCTTCATTCATTTAAAAGAAAATATACACTTAAGATAAAAAGTCACTGACCTTTATTAAGGCCAATGGTCAGATGGTCCAAATGTGATTTGGTCTGGAAAAGTTTCATCCTGTATGCAAACCAAGCCCAGTTTGCACAAACCCCTAAATCGGACTAGTTAAGCTCTAACGGTAGTTTGTTATGGGTTTCAACCTCAACCAGGGGCACGTTCGATCAAGGACCAGCAGTTAACTTGTTGGCTCGAGACACAACTAGCGCATGTGTAGTACAGTTTGAAGTGTGAACGACTCTACTCAATTATTATCAGGTCATTTATGCCTGTGGGAGAAGATGTGGCCATAGGAAGGAAACAATAACAAAAGAAAAGTGAAAAGGACCTTCTACTAGTGACATACTTACATTTTCCATTTTTCCACCATTTTTTCTTATAGACCTAACTGGTCCTCTCTGGACCTTTGCTATTACAAACGGCTACAGCAACCAACCTCGATAGGCTGGTCACAATTAGTCGACTACACTAGTCCACCCATAGACAGCTAGCATGCATTTGATCAGAGTTAGTCAAACTATGGTTAACTGAGTCATTCCATGAGGTTGGGGCACAATTTGTGACGGTGTCCTTGTTACATCTGGAACTTTTACCACCTGTCACGACCTGTAGAGTGGGTCATTTACTCTCAAACAATCCAAAATTAGTCATTTACTTTGTAAAAATAACACACACCTGTGTATTCAGCCTTGCAAGATGTATAATGTCAGTTTGGAATCCACATGTAGGGAAATTGCTGTTCATTTTCACAGAACCAATGTGACAACTGACACTGTCACAAATTGTGCCCCAACCTCATGGAATGACCCAACTATGGTCCTTGGTTAAACTTGCCCCTAGCAGTGTCTGCTGCTGTTGTTTGACCATCATCCAATCACTTCTTGCTTTTCTTTGGCTCAGCCATCCCCCAGCATTGGAATGCAGAATCACTGCACATGGTCCGTTACTCATGGGCAAGCAAGAAGTAAGGAGAGATTTGCTAATCTTTTGCAGTTACATTCATAAAGACACTCACTGAAACCTTAACGAGGGACAAGCTTCACTCTCTGAAGTACAAACCAGCTTTTGTGCTTCAATAAGACCTAGTCAGAGGCTACAACTCTGGACAAGAAGTGAAGCCTGGTTATTGCAGGCATAGTCCACAAAACAGACTATAAATATACTTTACTGCCTGGCACAGAACTGAAATGCATTTTGCTTTGGGTCGGATGTAGTTAGGTTTCTCTGTGTGGCATTAATCACATCACATTTTGTTGGTTGCCCAGGAGAAGGACATAAATAAACCCTTGTTTTTATTTTAGACTTCATCCAGAAAACCGCACAAAAACATCCTACTGCCTGCTGCTACACCATTTTCAATGTGAATACAAATGCAAATTTAGACCCAAACTGAACCGAGAATTCCATGCCTACAAAAATGCTCAGTGTCTTTTACCACAACTGGCATGGCTCATCTGTACTGCCCACCTTTCAACAAATCCCACGTTGTCACTAAATACACCTAGAAGCACCAACCAAGAAATGAAGAGAGGAAGATGAAATGACCATTGAAACCAACAGATGTTCCTGAGTTCAAGTTGGCCACGACTGTCACCGTCAAGGGACAGGAAACAGCAGTGCTGATTGAAGCTGGAAAGGGACTGGAGGGAGGGGGAGGGCTGGAGGGGGAGGGGAGACATGATGCTGAGGGGGCGGTGTGATGCAGTTTTGTGGGTGGGTTGGGGAGGTGGGCCGGTGCTAGGTGGCGATGCGAGCCCGCTTGGAAGGCGGTTCTACATCGTCGTCCTCCTCATCAGAGTCTTCGTCGGGGTAGTCTACCAGTCCTACCACGCCTCCCTGCTAGAAAAAGCACATCATGACATAATGACTAATAGTGTGGCTTAACAAAATGCTACAATATGTTCATGATAAATGTGTTCTTTGGATGACTGGGAGAATGGATAGACCGCTGACGTACCTTTGTCGTGACGCTATTTGTGGATGTTGTGTTGTCAGGCGTGGGGTCTGCAGCTGCTTTGGTATTTGAGGTTTCCTGAGTATCTTCGCTTGTCAACTTCTTGCCTGTCGGACTAGTCACACTGATGGGACTGACCGCATTGACTGCACTGACCGGACTGCCAGGTCTTGGCGTGGACACTGTCCGGGACAGGGCACCAGTGGCCGGTCGGACGGGGCTAGCTGGCCTACCATTGCTGGCCAGGGTTTCTTTGTTTAGAATCGTGCTCTCTTGAGCTGTTAAGAACAAAGAGAAGATGTCATGTGTAAGTCATTGTGTTATCACTATACCTTAAGCTGTTCAAGTGCACTGCATTACTGTTAAGAATACAGGTGATCCACAATACAGCGCACCATCACGAGTTTGCCGCGGACAGGTTGACAAGCTGCCATGATTAAGCGCATTCCATAAGTAATTTGGGGATATTTGATTAATTAATTAACCACTACCAGCCGGGGACTCCGAAATCAGAGCCGTATGGTTTATATGTGTGGCCGGGGTCTCCGAACTTGGACAAAGGAAACAGGGTCCTGTAACAAAAGACCGTACTCCGAACAAAAGACCAGGCTGCTGGGCATGACCGGCATTTTTCACTCTCAAAAGTGGTGATAATCCAGCGTTATTT